CCCCCCCTCCCGTGTGTATACTAGAGCAGTGAAAGGCGGCAGCCTCCCGCCCTAGGGTGACTACAGTCACCCCGGGATGTGCCTCAGACATGGGGTACGGCAGGGAGGACTCCAGAAGCCGCCGATGCGTTCCTGGAGCTCCTCCTGACTGCCGAGGTAGGCCGCCGCGGGGTTTAGTGGGTAGACCGGTTCTCCAGGAGTCCCACACACGCCCTACGTATGGTGGGTAACGGAGGGTAGGGTGCGAAAAGCATTCCCCGCGTTAAAAAAAAATCAATCTAACCTGTGCCTGGATTTAAGAAACGATGTAAGAAAAAATTCACAGAAACAAAACACTATCTAAAACAAATGACTCAATTTTAAATTTAATTGCAATGACTTTCGTATAAAATTTATTTGAATTTCACTACACTAATAATTAAACTTGAAAATGCTGGTTTTAAAAAATATCCAACTTCATAGACCTATTATAATTATAGAAGATACGTTTATTAATGGGGTTCTAAGGTCAAGTGTTTACTCAATAAACAGTTTTTAAATTCAGTTTATTTTTTTATTACAACAAGTTACCATTTTCGCTTTACAACCTTTACAAACAAAATTACAAAATCATAATCGTAACCACTCACAAAACATACAAATTACACACGCGTCAACATTTATTTACATAAAATACAATATTTACAGGCGATCGTTCTTTCGTACAACAATAAATATGAGCAGCGCGGGCGGCGGCGGACTACACACTAGTATCACACGTGACGTCACAGTTCAGGTCTGGAGCGCTCACACGAGCACGGTGAGCCGCTCCGGCGGCTGCATGCGAACGGGCGGCGGCTCGGGCGGCGGCAGCGCGCGCTTCGTCAGCTCCTTGTCGCGCGGCGGCGTGTCGTTGCGCGCGTCCGCGTTCTGCGCCTTGTACAGCGAGTGCGCGCGCGGCAGCTCGTCCTGCCGGCGCCCGCCCCCCGCGCCCCCCGTGCCTCCGCCCCGCGGCTCCTCGCGCAGCGGGTTTGCGTACCGACGCAGATTCTCTTCGTTTTGCAGATTGTTGGACTTTTCCTCGTCGCAGCGCCTCGAGCGCTCAGCTGCCGCGGCGACACGCCTTTTCTTCACCAAAAGCACTGCACCCACCGCTCCAACTGCCAACACCGATAGAGCCAGGCCGCCCAACGTAAGTGCTAGGGTGTTGGGCCCTACGTTATCATCTACGGCAGCGGCGGGCGTAGACGCGTGAGGTACGCGCAGACGAAGCGCAGCGCCGAGAAGGGCGTGGTGCGCCAGTCGCCGTCGCGATACGAGCTCGCTTAGCGCCCGCACGGCGGCACCCAGCGCTTCGGCACGTTCCGCGCCGTCGGAGCCTACCTCGTCGCCGATCCACTGCAATGAACATGAGAGAAAAGATAAAATTACTCTTTACATAAGATATCCAACTAAGCGACATCGCTGCCGGTCGGCTTACCAGCGCGAGGTCGAGCGCATCGTCGTCGTCGGGTGCTAGGTCACACAGCAAGGCTAGGGGAGGCGCAGGTGGAGCACGCGCTGCGAGCGCCGCAGCGAGCGCCCGGCGCAGAGCCGCACAGGCGCGTTCCACGTGGGCGCCACGCGCCAGTCGCTCCCGCGCGAGCTGTAGACTGGCGCGTGCACAACCGGCTGGCAAGCGTGCCGAGCGAGATCCAGGCCAACAGGAGGGAGGTGCAGGCAATGCTGGAGGTTCCACGCGGCGGCCTGACACACGGCGACACTCGCCAATGGGAGCGCATGGCGCACGCAGGCACAGCGTGGGTGCGGCCGGGACGCATACCTGCCGACAACAAACAATATCGGTCAACATTGAGCCTCGAACGCACACGTTCTTTAAGAAAATAGATGGTACCGTTTTATGCCGTACCTACCTCAAAATTAAAACGTAATATTCTATTCGTAATAAGATTATTCATAAAAGGATTACGCACATTCTCAACTAATCAATAAATACATCATAATATAATCTAGTTCAATGTGTAGTGCTATAAGAATCAACAGGAGCTTACTTCGTCGGTTCGACAGGGTTGGGCGTGCTGCCCGTGGCAGTCGGGTAGGCCGCACCACAGGCGAGTGCAGGCGGGCGCGCCCGCGTCGCACCAACACGCGTTGCAGCCCCACCACCAGGTTCCGTTGTCGGCGCCGCACGCGCCCGGCTCGCTGTCCACGCCGTCGTCTAGCCCGTCGCCGCTCTCGCCGCCCTCACTCCCTTCAGCGCCGTCGGCTCCCAGCCCCGCCAACACTGCACATCGTTCATTTACTTACTTAAAAGTTACTATGCATATGCAATATTTGTCAAACTAAATAAACATACATATGCTTGTCACAATCTCTCGAGGCAGCTCTCAATAACAAGGGCAAAGCCGCGTTTTCACGTTACGAGTACGAGAATGCTCGTATGAGAGTGCATTCGGATTGTAGTATACACGTTACGAGTTGAATAGCGTCCGAGTATCATTTTATCTCGTCGTTTCATTGCACTATATCCATTTTCAAGACGTTCGATGATGACGATCTTCTACTGTGAGGCATAGAAATAGTGGCCGATCGTCTATAAAATAGTAAAAAGTGACTTGCGCCCTCCGCAACTGGTTGATTGAGAAAGCCTTGCGTTACGACTCACTTACAGGAGAACTTACAGGACCTGGTACACGAACACAAGAATCAAGCTCCAATCATATAGTTGATCTTGTGAACTAAGTTAACAATCATTGTTTTCAGTCAGCAAAGAACGAAGAACTAGTTTCAAACGACACATCATGAGGGAATATGCCTTTTATCTGTGTTTTCTTATATTAGTAAAACATTATTATAAAACTACAGCTAATAAACTACTACTATTTAACTGTTATTAACTAACTATTATTTAACTGTTATACCCTAAGTATATATATATCTTTCCTTTCTAAGGAGAGTCCTATGTCCAACAGTGGACTATTAAAGGCTGTTGATGAAACCCTACCAATTTCATAAAACGTTTCTTTTTTTGATTACACACGATTTAAATCTATCTGCAATTTTCAACCGTACCAATGATGGATATTTAATTCTTAATAAAATATTGATTTTATATTAATAGTTCTTGCGAGTACGTATTCTGGATATACATAATTGAATTTGTTGTTCACGTCTTGGTTTCATAGTTGGTGTGTAAATTATTAAGTATGCGTTGTATTGTAGCATTTCGAGCGTCTTTGTGTTTATATTCATTTAGCCTCACATTCCACAACACTTTCTCCTCTTCATAAAGCTCCACCAACCTCATAGTGTCACATTGACTCCACTTTTTTTTTGATGACGCCCTTTTGTTTACATGAAATCAGCCGAGTGCCTTGGCAAAATTGAACCGCGTCCGAGTTCACTCTGATCGTTATCCGACTATCCGACTATATTCATTTAGTCTGAGTGCACTCGGATGGCCTGTTTACACGAAACAACTAGCATCCGTAAGCAGTAGCAGTAATAATCCGACACTCGGTCCGAGTCCACTCGTAACGTGAAATCGTGGCTAAAGGATACCGTAGGTACTAAAAGGAAGTGGTTGGAGCTTAACACACAATGATCCTTACTCTCGAGGCAGCGTCGAGCGGCACGCTGCGGCGGCGGTGGACACACGCAACGAGCAGCACGTTCAGGGTTACGCGCGTCGGGAACGCACGCCGCGCCCGACGGACACGCCGGTGAGCACGATGCGGGTGCCGGTACACGTATCGCGCAAGTGTCCCCAGTCCAGCCCGCCGGACATTCGCAGGCCCACCAGCCGGCTCCACCTACGCAGCGTCCCCCGTTGCGGCACGGCGAGGATACACATGAGTCCATCGTCAACTCGCAGCGCGAGCCCGTGCGGCCTTCGCGACAAACACAAGCCCACCCTGGCGGCGTGGGGCTGGGAACACAAGTGCCGCCCGCTGCGCACGGGCAAGGAGGTGCGGCGGGTGGAGCCAGAGGTGTCGCAACCGAGCTCGTTTCACAGGTGGTACCTCCCCAACCGGCAGCACACGCGCACCGCCATGAGACGCCATCCCGCATACACGTTCCACCGTTTGCGCAAGTACCCTCGGGACATACGTCTATTTCTTCGATGTGCACAGTGCATGTTTTACCTGTAGACAGTCGGAAGTGCCATTAACAAACACGGAAAAAGGTTAGTGAACATTCTGCCGTCGGATTCGTTGCTACCACTGACCAGTCCAGCCATCGCGACAGATGCAGGTGAAGTCGAGGGCCGTGTCGCGGCAGGTGGCGTTGTTGCGGCACGGGTTGGAGGCGCAGGGCTCGAGCGGGACGCGCACGTCGCACAGCGCGCCCACGTGGCCCGGCTCGCACGCACAGCGCGGCGCCGCGCCCGCTGCTCGCACGCAGCGCCCGTGTGCGCACACTCCGGCCCCGCACATGTCACTTTCTGTAATTGGAAGTAACAAATGCCCATCAAAGTCCTAAACTACGGTCATACACTGGTACTAGTGCTTTAGAATAATTCGTGCATATGTCTAAGTAGCATACATACGTTCGCGAGCGGCGCGCGTGGTGCAATTTTTGCCGGTCCAGCCGGGCGCGCAGTGGCAGTAGTAGTCGCTCTGCGCGGTGTAACACGCGGCGCCGTTGCCACACGGTGCGCCTGCACAGTGGTCACGGTCGTCCTGTACATGGACACACATATTATGCCATTTGTATTAAGTATCACGCCGTGAACAATACATTTCCAATTGAAACAATACAAACACACCACAAAGTACACAATTTTGGCAAAAGTTTACGCGTGAGGCGCGTGGGCAACCAGCGACGGAGCAGAGGGCGCGCCCGAGCGCGCCGGGAACGACGATTGCGGCAATTGAGGGTGCCACGAGCCCCACTTGACGACCGAGCGGCGCGCACGATAGACCTTTCTTCCGATACCGTTGCTATAATCTTTTTTCATACTATATCACATCATTGTAATAAATTATTTTCAAATACAGTAAACTTTTACCTGCAACTCCGCTGCAATACCCGAAGCTTAACATTGGTACTTCGACCGGATCAAATAATTAGAATAATTTGTTACAATGTAGTGTCAACATATAGTATCAAAAATAATTATCGCAACAGTATCGGAAGAAAGGTCATTCGTGCGCTCGGTCGTTCGTCAAGTGGAGGGGCTCGTGACACCCTCAATTGCCGCAAACGTCGCTCCTGGCGCGCTTCGCCGCGCCCTCCGCTTCCTTCGCTTTTTGCCCACGCGCCTCACGAAACGGTACTTTCATCTAAAAGTCATGCAAAAATGTTGAATCTATTTAAAGAAAAAAAAAACTTAAATACACATAGTTTCAACACGCATTTCTTAGCCTTACTTGTATCTATGCAAGCATATCTAGGAGAGCTAGGATGATGTTGGTGGAACTCTTTAGTGACTACTAAAAGTAGTGAACCTCTGAATTTTGAGCTAATATCATTTTGATTGGAGTTTTAACGAGTCCATCAGATTGGCCTTGGTAACGGTGACCTCATGAGGCAGCCAGAAGATAGAAAGTGGTACTCTTTTTACTCTTTAATTAAAAAGCCCTCCATTGGTGACATCACCGATGTAGTGTATCGCTGTCACCAATGTAGTGAAACTACTGGCGCTTGTTCAGATACTATTATATTACGCTTCGTTTGCAAATAGTGTTAATGTTTATAGTCTAATATTGGTCGTGTGTCAACTAACACATTCAAACAGACATTTAGCTGACTTGTAAAATATGTTACGGAAATTATAACATCATAATAATAAGGCAATTATTGGGTTGCTGTTAAAGAGGTGACAAACATACATAGTTGTAAAAAAACAGAGTGCGTAATGCGCGTGTTTCAAACATTTACTAAAGATTTCCATTGGTTTTGAAAACAACTACTTATTAATGTAGTAATTTTGTATAGGTTCTGTTTCTTCTCTAAGGCTATGAACGAAATCAGTTTCTAACACGGCACAAGGAGGCAGGTTCTGCATGATACGAGATACATATTACGTGGCTCGTACACGAGGCAAGCTTATATACAACACATTAAACTTGTATTACGTGCTAGTGACTCACCGCGCAGTAGCGTCCGTGACAGGGGGTCAGCTAAAAGTAAGCAGAAGTCAGGTTAGTCGGTGTTAGAGCATGAGCGTGGGTCCACCTGAGCGATTAGTTCAATATTAGTTCAGTGAAACAGCGGCAGAGCTCGCTCGCCGATGGCGCCTCCGTACGTACCTCGCAGTTGGTGCCGGAGAAGCCAACGGGACAGATGCAGCGGTAGTCGTTAAGCAAGTCGACACACTCCCCGCCGTGGCGGCAGGGGCGCGGCGCACAGTCATCCACGTCCCGTGCGCACGTGCGCCCTGCGTAGCCTGCTGCGCACGCGCAGTGGAAGTCGTCCACCAGATCGATGCACGTAGCCCCGTTCAGACACTGACCGGTGCAGTCGTCCACGTTGGTTTCGCAATCGCGCCCGGTCCACCCCGCCAGACAACTGCACGTGTAGCCACCGAGAGTGTTGTTGCACGAGGCCGCATTCACACACGGCCCGAGCGTGCCCTCCGCCACACTTGTACTTGCCGCACCTCCTGGTGTCCTTTCGCCGCTCTGTTGCTCACATTCGTTCACGTCTGGTGGTAATTAAATATAATCGGTAATTAAATTCGATACATCATTAAATAAACTAATAAATAGTAGACAAAGAATTCATGGTACCTTCAGAGCAGGTAGGCCCGGTCCAGCCGGTAGAGCACTCGCATAGGAAGGCGTCTAGCTGATCGCGGCAAGTAGCGCCGTTGTTACAAGGTCCACTGGCGCAGTCGTCCACGTCCTGATCGCAAAGTGCCCCACCCCAACCTCGTGCGCATTCGCAAACGAATCCACGTGGCGAAGCACTGAGCGAGCACTCGCCGTGCACGCAGGGCTGTGGAGCGCAGGGGTTGTCAACGCGCTCGCAGTCCACTCCGGAGAAACCTTCGGCGCAGCGGCATAAATACTGGTCTGGCGCTGTATTTTCACACGTCCCGCCGTGCTGGCACGGCTCGTGCGTGCCACAATAGTTGAGATCTGTTTGAATAAACATTTATTTATAATGACTTAATGCACATTGCAAAGTTAAGCAACCCTAGCCAGGTCAGTCTATGGATGGGTGACCATTCTCAATACATTAAGACCCCTACGTGCCTCGAACAGCAAGTTAAACCGTCGGTATTAAGAGTCTATCTACAGAACTTCGATATCACCTAGAACTTGGGTTGTGGAGATCTAATGGCAGTCACTCCATGTAATAATCGAAGTTCAACTGTGTCTTGGTAGACTGAAAAGCCAAACCCATAATAGTTTGGAAAAAAGCTCGGAGGCTTAATACACAAGTTGGACTTAATGGCCAGGGCATTATCTCCCATTCGTCCTTCGGGTGATGTAGGCATGTGATGCGGTAGATGCAGAGATAAAACAAAAAATGTTTACCATCATTTTTTATATATTACACGTAATAGGATGACTATAAAATATATTCATCATTATTCCCTTTGAAACTGAATGCACACTGAAAGCTACATTCACAAGAAATTTCACCCACACTTGGGTTACCATTATTTATCTTTACCATAACCCTGACCTAGGTGTGGTCAGGTTTAAGGTATAAACCAAGAATCAGTCGGTATACGGCTATATCTCAGGAAGCTAAAAAATTTAGATACAACCATCAGCATTTCACAGCTATATAGTATTACGTGGTACTCAGGTGACGCGCCAAGAAAATAATACCCTCGTATTGTAACCATATCTTCAACAAGACAGCATCGGTGACATTACCAACAAATAAATTAACAATAACCTTCACAGTGTCGTCAATAACAGATTCGTATTTACCTTGATCACAGAGAATACCGCCCCAATTAGTATCGCAGGTGCAGTCCCAGGAGGAACCGTTGCAGTAGCCGTGCTTACAGCCGGGGTACGGCTGGCATTGGGAGCACAGCTCACCGCGCCACCCCGGTCGACAGCTGCGGACATCACTCACTTTTAGTCTCTAATAGTCAGCAAGGCTCAGGTCTGGTTTTCCATCATCATCATCATCAATAGCCTTTATAGTCCACTGCTGCACATAGGCCTCTCCTTAGAAAGGAGGTTTTGGCCTACTATATCACGCTGGTCAGACGGGTTGGTATAGGGCTCGTGTCAAGTTTACCTTACGACAGTAACGAGATGAATAGGGGCGGTGACAGTCCGTATTCTTAATCCATCACCACCCGGATAGTCAGGTTTTTAATACTCCTTGATAAGCAGATAATTCATTTGAATATCTTTAAGAATTTAAAGTACTTGACTTGAAGTTGTTTAGTTACAGTAAATAGTTATGATTCACAAGAGTGGACCAGGTAAAGATACATGACAAAAACTCACTCGCAGTCACCGGGACGATCGCAACGCCCATGCGTAGGATGACAACCTTCTTTGCACACGGCTGCAATAATAAAGAAAAATTAACCTTCTACATATATTTGATAAGCTGTGATTTTACTTTTATAATATACTTTTTGCTGTAGCTTAGAGTATTATATAGTCAATGTAAGAATTAAAAGATGACGAACGTTTCTCGCAGTTGTCTCCCTGCCAGCCCGGCAAGCAACGCTTGTCGCCCTCGTCAGTGCAGGAGTAATGGCCAAACTTGTCGTCACGCGGCCGGCAGAAGGTGGTGCACGTTGTGTTGTAGTAGTTGGGTTGGCACAGCACGCGCACTCGATACGCCACCGCCGCTGTCGAACCGGCGTGCTGCAAGGCGTGCCATTCCGCGCTCGGCTCCACGATGCCAGACCACCACGCCTCCTCGATCAGACCGGCTTCTGCATACATAAAATGGGAATTATCTACTCGTGTTCGATGGACTACAAAACGCGGGCAGTAAACAAAGATGTAGCACACTGGACCAAAGGTGTACCTGGTTCCGGGTATTCGTAGTCATCAAACGCCTGCAGTATCAATGTAAACGATCGCTGCAACAAAAGAGTAAGTGTTAAGTCACATTGCTGCTCATGTTCACTGGCGTGCTCATATCAGTAGGTAGAGTTAGAGGTGAAGCTTACCGTCCAGCGGAAAGAAAAGGGTAATGCAAGTGTGTAGAGCGGTTCGACAAGCGTGAAAGAGTCAGTGCCGAGCACAGGGGAAGCCGCTCGGCCAAACGAACAAGCGCCCGGCGCCGCCGCGGACTGGTACTCCTTCAGGCAGAGCGTGAATCGCGTGCGGCAAGGTGCAGAGCAGGCGCGCGGTGCTGCCGCCGGAGCACCGGCGGGCGACACTAGCGAAGCAGAAGAGGGGGAGGCGCCGCCGCAGCACCCGCCCGATGACACCTCCGCGCGATAGTTGGAGAACTCTAAAATCTGCAGCTCGAACACGCCCGCCCCCGCCGCGCACTGTATAACATACGTCACAAATAAGTCAAGCGTCAGTATAAACCGTCTTCACATAGTTAAGTGGATGGCCACGGTTGCGGTGCTAATATATGGTATAAGTTAAGTCTAGATCCTTGGCTCAAGAATATTTGCTTTAGTGTCGGCTGGTATATCATGGAAACCACATATATGTTGTGAACATATGGAATTATTTATTCTAATACTGTGTAACGGTAATTGTGCACAGGTAGTGTCAACAGGTAGTGCGGTATTTTCCGCACTAAGGTAAATAGTAGGTATTACAATAACTGACTCTTGTGGTATCATAAGTAGACCTTTTAAAAGCTTATACCTACTTTCAGGTGGTTTTAAAAAATAACCTTATCTGTATTTTGCAGAGGGTTGTGTGTCGTAATATCTGAGAAGACCTTCATAGAACATGTGACACTTTTCGTTTGTAACGTTGTTTCGTTCGTTCTACAGCTGAGAAAACTTTACTGGCTCATTGGTTGTAAATCCCAGTTATCAAGGGAAAACAAACTTCTAGTATATAAAGCCATCCTTAAACCTGTGTGAACGTACGGCATACAACTATGGGGAACAGCCTAACACTCCAACATAGAGATCTTACAACGTTTTCAAAACAAAATGCTGCGCATAGTTACTGGTGCCCCATGGTTTGTGACTAACGAACAATTGCACAACGATCTGAAGATGCCTACAATCAGGGAGGAAATAACTAGACACACTAAGGCATACAGGGACAGAATATCAAACCACCCAAATATATTGGCCCAACCGCTTATGGACAACAGTTTTAAAATCCGTAGGCTAAAGCTCAGAATCCCCCAGGATGTGCTGTGATAAGAGCACATTATAACTAGAACAGGGTACGGCATTGGCCGCATCCCTGCACACGACTTCCAATTTATGCCCAATCTATCGCTTAATGTCCTGATAAAGAGACAGATTGCTGTATTAAAGATGAACAAAAAAAAAAACTTTTCGTTTGTAAGCGAATAAAATAATAATAATATAATAACAGTCTAGTATATACAATATTCTAAACAACTCCACTACTGTATTGCACATTATCGCGGTTAGATAAGGCTTTTTAAATATTCAATAGGCTCGTTGAATCACTTAGAAAACCTGGTTAATTATATACTTTAAATTCTATTTTATCCCAAAAACCTATAGTTTAAAGAAAACGCCATATTTACATTACGTATTTGTATTAAAAAAAACAATTTAAATTTCATTTGAAATAATGCTTTAACGCTGAATAGTGTCATGGTGTCTTGAATGACGTCACAGTCTGCGAAAACAAAACTGTTTACATCTGTGTCCAGTGTCAACTGAAACTGTATTAAGGTGAGAACATATGCTAACAACGAAAAACAATTAGGAGTAACCTGCGCTGTTGTATGAAAACGTCAACAACAACAATGTTTTGCGTGGCGTGACCTAACACTTTCTGATTGGTGTTCGCTGTCACGTGACTTAATGCCATGTTCGAATTTTTTTTTTTTAAATATTAATAATCTTCAACTTTTATGAGAAATAGACTGTTTTTTTCTTATCTATGTCTCTTCATTTATAGTTTGAAACTATAAACCAAGCAATTTGTTATTAGTGGACACAAGCCTATTTTCTGATAACGTTCTAAGCATAAGTAATATACTATATTTATAAATAAACTAAACTGGATAAAAGAAAGAAGTAATAATAATCTATGTCCTAGTCCAATCTGTCCTCCTCTGGCACTCTCTCTGGCAATCAGGACAGCATCCAGTCGCCTCTCATTCGAGTTCGAGCTCACATGTTGGTCACTTCAACAGGTTCGTCTCAAGCTTAAACTTTTATATTTTATTTGTGTATACATGTTGTTATCTCAGCAAGTATATATGTACACGTATTTCAGTAGGTATGTTTATTTGCCCCACATTTTTTTTATTACTGTTACTTTGTCCATCTTTTCATTTACTATTACCTCTTTAAAAAAATAAAAATTAATATGGAGTGCATCTAGTCAGACATTTCCCCACCACCCAAGGATATAGTGGAAGACAAATGCTTCTGGCATTAATGCCGCCATTGTACATTTATCATTGTGCATAAATAAATAAATAAAAATGCCTTTATTCATTTTAGTTAGTAAAACTCCAGCCACATACGTAACGATAAAGAGATATGATAGTAAAGAACCTCTCAATGAAAACTTTCTACCGTTGTTTTATATGTTTCAATAACAATCAAAGTTGTATACATAATGATTGAACTTACAACTAAACACTTAACAAAACCAAGAAGCAGAAGGTTTGTGACCAAGGATCCGAGTGTGTGCCCGCGTGCCCATTTCATTACTGTTATGGACACTAAGTTACACAATTTTGATGTTCTCTGCTTATCAACGGATTTTCTTTTATTTGTTAGTTACGATTCTCGGGGGTTACAACAAATTACAATAACTAATAAGGCTTGATTTTATACCTTCAACGGGATTTTAGTGTCGACCTGGACGACTAATCTTCGCTCCGCGTTAAAAAAGTTTTTATATACTGAAAAAACTTAAAAGCAAGCAAATAAAACAACGTTGGAGCCGTTTGCGGAACACACGAAGTGCACATGTCAACTAACATAACTATGTCAGTTTGTTTGTTCTGCTGCCTCTCTGTTGCGATTTAACTGCCCCGCTGAATGTCATAAAGTTTGCATAAACGTTGCCACGGGTAGAGAAAGGGGACGTGGATTACCGTTCATCCATAAAATATATTGCTCCAGAAGGGATACACAAAGTGAAAAATAAAAATGTACATACAAGGAAGTCGCGAGAATAAGCTCCTGGTTCTATGTATGTAGACATACGTAAAATATAGAACTGTTCGTTGAAAGCAGTTCGTTGAAATGCAGATTCATAAGTGTGATTGTAGATGTATAAAGTGGAAAAAAAAATTGTTAACGTGCAAATTCATGTGTTTTTGTCAAATGTTTGTGTGTGTGTCGGGGGCAAAATTAAATGTCCTACACCTATTTGTGGGGTTTGGGGTCAGCCTATTTAATATTTCTGGAAAAGGGCGATTTAATCGTTTCAAATACCTCTATTTTGCAGGTTCACAGCTCAAGTACTGAGGCTTGGCGTTGGCTTTAGGTAGGTTTTCAATGAACGCGGTTGGATTGGACACGGTGGAATTCCGGAGCCGTAATTACGATAATCGCATTCATGTGTTGACGTCATTGCTCTAATTATGACGTAACAAATGTAATAAGATTAGGGAGATGTAAATACCTGTACGTACTGTTACAGACGTACCGTTGCCAGAGACTCGAGCAGGTGTGAGTCGGTCACACACTGTGAGTGCTGATCGCGCGGCAGTACAACAATAATCATTTAACATTTAGGTAAATTGTTTTAATTGGACTAAACACATGGTTCAGTGTTTGCAGTTACTGTCATTGCTATTTTATTACCTACAGAATATAAAGCAATTTCAACGATTTTATTCTTGTCAAAATTAAAAAATAATTACTTTTCTGTAAAATAAAATTTCTTAAGTTTAAAGTTCCATATTTTTAGTAAGATAGGTGCCCAAAGGAGTCTACTAGATGTTCAGGCGTTTTCATTACAAAGTGCTGAGGAAGCTTTGTTATGCTACGTTACAGTTAGATATAGGTAAAGAATATCACTTTGGAAAAGAGATAATTGTATATTGGATGAAGAAAGATACATCATTTAAAACAAAACGTTGTTCATAAGTGTGCGTGGTGGAAAAGACCATCTTTTATCGCTTCTTCGTTTAAACTTCATGTTAAATCAAAACACAGTGATTAGAGAAATTTTGGTACTTGCTCAGACCAGGCGAGGTGATCATGTCTGGCGGGCCGCGGCCCAACGGTTGATGTTGGGAAACTGTATGCTAATCAGCGAGAGAATTCTTTATATCGCGATACAGGATTAGCAATTCTCATTCAGGAGTTACTCCGAAGTTCTATTGTGTTGTTTGTGTGAATGTTTCTGTTTCTTTGTATGTGGGAGTCGTCACAATGTTATTTTCATAACACTAAGAATAAAGTAAGGGACACATCGACCCACGCTATTTGGACTGTTGGAAGTTAAACGATGGGAGTCGTGTGAGAGGGTGCAATATATTGTTGTCATTTCCATTTATTCAAACGGCTATATTCTTCTCTATATAAGCTTCCATCACAATACATTGTCCGTTTCCAACGATATTCTGTTTAGATGGTAGAACACTTACCTATAGTTATTTAGGGTGCCTAGAATGTTGGTGATTTACTATACCCTACCTATTGTGTGTAATAAACTAGTAAAAAATAATATTTGTGGACAAGTAATACACTAGGCCTCGCTCACATCACGGTATGTATCCTGGTCGATTCAAATAATCTAAAGAGCAGTAAATTAGACTACCTGAAACTATTAAATTTGATTAATATTTTAATAATGACAATGTTACATAGAAATGCTGGTAGAGCGATTATTGTGACTTAATTAAGGACTTATAATTGTTAGACTTACGGACGTACGCGTATTTTATTAATAATAGGCGCATCGCACACCAAATAATATTTTTAGGTAAGTTTTTGATGGGCACACCCAAATACTCCCAAATATTTATTCCGAATTTCGATGTTGACCTTACAATTATAATGTCTAATATTAAAATTCACGAAATTTATTTTACCGAAAGTCGTAAATGCGATGTGTTTGTTTTCCGAGTTTTATAGTTCGAAGGATCAAATGATCGATGAGTTCTCGTTTCGACAAAACGACACTCCGACAACTGCTAAAATTAAGATTCTGATTCAGTTAGTAGAATTTTCAGTAACGCATTTATATGCAGAAGCTATAAGTAACGTTTAATGTACCTTACACAATATACCTGCTCGGCTAGGCTAGGTTAAAACTGTGAAAATTAAAGCGTTCAGCGGCAGCGCCTGCCGAGCCCCAGAGCCCCTCTATTGTATGTGAATAATTTTTGTAAAGTTAAGTTAGAACT